CCTCCACCGCCCCCGCCCCAGACACATACTTTGGGCTCCCCGGGCCTCGGTTTCCCACAAGGTATAAACGAGGCAGGAAACCAGCCAGAGGGCCATCCGGGAATGGTGGCTGACGCCTATAAGGGACCAGAGCTCAGTACACAGCAAGTTTCTGAGTGGTTCTGACTCGCGGGGCTGGGAAGCTCAAGAAAGGATACGATCGGCCTATAACAAGCGTCAGGCTTTAAGGAGAGTAGGTAAAATAGATAGAGGACAAAAGGGGATGGAACCTAAGTCTCTGATGATTCCACAGCCCCTTCTTCACCTCGCAAGGCCTCCCAGGGCTACCCGAAAAGTCCGCTCCCTCCCCGGGGAAGTTTCTGGTGCGCAGAAAGCAAGTGATGGGCTTTTACAGAAAAACCGAAATCTGTTTTTAAAACTCTTGTCCAGCGATCGTTTGTCAGCACATCCGGCTGAGTTAGACACCTTGTGGATGGTGCTGGCGCCCTCCCTCACCCTCTTGCCTTTCCTGGGTGGTGCCCCCAGCCCCCAGCCGCGGCCAGTGCTGGCTGCTGACGCTCACACCTGCCTCCTCTCCAGGGAACCGCCCCCTCCTGTCTGCCTCTTCCCGGCCTGAACGGCCTGCGGCCAATGACCAGCCAACACCGGCGGACCAAAGGCGCTCTCTTGCCTCAAGGTGGGCCCACGTGTGCTGGGGCTCATGCTCTGGAGCTCTCGCGAGACCAGGTGAGGCTGTCTCCCGCTGAGACTCCCTCTCCGCTGCACTCCCTTCCCCTCTCCTGGGAGGCTTCCTCCAGTAACCCACTTGCACAGAATCCTTGTCTCAGGCTCTGCTTCTGGTAAACTCAGCCCCAGACACTAGTTATTCCTATTGCAGAGTGTTCTGGAAAGCTGACAGGTGAGGCAGCACAGCCTCAAGGAAGGGGGGGGGGCAGAAGTCCCGCCCGCAGCCGCATTGTGTGTAAAAGGCAGAGCGGAGGCTTGAACCCAGTTCTTGGGATTCCAGATGCAAGTGGGACACACATGAATGGAACCGTGGCTGGGCCCACGTGGCTAAGGATGCTCCCCCATCTCTGGGACCTCAGGTGCTGTGTGTACCAGTGTGGTCCCCAGTCTGGGGTCCCATCCACTGGGAGTCACTTCGGCCTCGGAGTTAAGTTGTCTCCTCCCTAGAGACCAGGTGGGGCTGGGTCCCCCAGCTCCTGGCTGGGGTCTGCAGTCAGCGGGGAACCCACTGGCCTCCTGCCTGTACTGGTCCTGTCCTCTGGGGACGTCTCCTGATACACAGAGACAGTGAGAGGCCGAGAGGGGAGACTGTCTCCTTCAATAAAAGCCACTTATATGGAGCTATGGTGACCTCAGGTCCCTTCCTCGGGGGCCTCAGAGTAAGTTCCCCAGGCCTCTAAAGGTCCCCATTGCTGGCCAGCTCCTGCCTTCCGACCCTGTCCTGGGCTCACGGTGCTTCCTCAGTGCCCAGCCCTCAAACCTTCTGCAAACGGGGACCTTCCGCACCTGGAAGACAATGACAAAGGCCAGCCGGGCTGCCAGCACGGCCCAGAAGTCCTTGGAGATGTCATACTTGTGCTCCGACCACGGGGGCTCCCGGTAGTCCTTGTACCTGTGGAGACGGCCGGGCATCAGTGTGGGTCTTGGAGCGGGAACCGGGCTTCCAGCCGGCACCCTGCGGCCTCAGGAAGGCCTCGGCCACCTCTCCAGCCACCACCACCGCGGGCGGCCCTCCCTGGCGGAAGACGCTCCAGACCAGCCGCTCACACGGTGGGTGGGTCACTCTCGGTGTTGGAGGGCGGGGCCTGGACCCCCCGAGGGCTGGGCAGGGCCCGAGGGGCTTCGTGCAAAACGCAGACACCGCAACGTGGCCCCACGGGCCCATCCATGAGCTCACAGCAGGCGACTCTGGGACCATCCGGTCCTGGGGTTCCAAACTTTTTTATTTTGTAATGTTTGTTTATTTTTGAGAGAGAGAGAGAGAGACAGAGGGCGAGCAGGGGAGGGGCAGAGAGAGAGGGAGACACAGAATCCGAAGCAGGCTGCAGGCTCTGAGCCGTCGGCACAGAGCCCGACACGGGGCTCGAACCCACTAACTTCGAGATCATGACCTGAGCCGAAGTCGGACGCTGAACCGACGGAGCCCCCCGGGCGCCCCACGAGGTTCCAGACTTTTAAAGGCAGCAAAGCCCTTCTTCCTAACAGGAATCTCACCTGAGACTCTAGTGGGCCACACAGAGCAAGTGGGGGCGCCTGGTTTCCCAAGCCTGGAGCCCCCCAACCTCAGCCCAATGCCCACCGTCCACAAGACCCCCGCTGGGTTCCATGAACCCCAGGTTTGAAACCCACCTCTCCAGTCTCTCCTGTCTACTGAGGAGACTGCTGGAAAACAGACCAACACACATTCTCCGAAAGCAGCCCAAGTATGAGGTCAAACACGTGACTGGTGGGGACAGGACCCGCCAGTCAACTGTCCCCCTGCCTGCCGGCCCCACGGGACCCAGCACCGCAGGGGCACCTCCTTCCTCTCTTCCAGCTGAAGCTTCTTGGCTGTCCCCTCCTTATCTCCACGTGACACCGGCCCATCCCCCTCCCTGGGTTACCAGGTGTAGACGCTGCCCGCTGCCTGGGCGGACACCCTCTCCCCCACTGACCC